CAGCTCTACACCTTGTTATCTCAGATTCTCCAGCATCGGCAGTTCCTACTATCTCAGTTCAATACAAACTGTCTTCCACCAATGTCGGTCTGAAGGGAATAAGGTTGTGCTGCAAGCCAGTTAGAAGATTGAAAAGTTTGGGCTAGGAATACACACAGTTTCACTTACATGTAGTTAGAGGTAATAGTGAAACAAGAACACTGGTGGTTGTGAAGTAGATAATAGTTTGAAACTTATGAATGATTAGAAGCCAATATAAATCAGGAAAGTTAGGGGTGAGAATGATTTAATGCAGCATGGGGTATTGAAATAATGATCAAGATTCCCTTGCTTGTTTGCAGGGCTAAAATTTCTCTGAGAAGGTGGATTGCCTTCTTAAACTGCTGTAGCCCATGTGAACAGTTAACACCACAATGGCTTATAAAGCTACTTCATGAGGCAGTGTCACACATATTGGTGTGAGCTGCTGACAGATATTGCATATATTTCATTAGGATAACAGGTCACTTTCCTTAAAGGAAGTGAGTGAGCTAGTTGTTTGTTTTTCAACTTAATGGGAATACAGTCATTTTTACTGCTTTTAATTTATTGATTTAAAAAAAATTGAATTAAAGTTCTCAAATGCATTGATGCAATTTTAACTAACTTTCTTTTGATAAACCAGGTGCTTGGATTGCTGACTGTATAACATTACTACCACCCTACTGTACTCACACAATGTGTAGCCTGGTCATGAATAATATGGGAGAGAGCTTGGCAAGGGAAGTGTTGACCTGGTCAAGCCTGGAGGTGGCAGGGTCATTTATAAAGGTTTCACTAGCTCCCCCAATTCTCAATTATTGCTTTTCTAGGAAAAAGAGGAGTTTCAAACAAGAGTGTTACATATTTGTGTGTATATATATAATATATTCATATATATAATTCCACAGCATTATCACAGGGACCTTAAATTCAGCTATTTCCACAAAGCACAAACTACTCAGGAAACCATAAGAACTGTGGCTTCATGTAATGTAGTATTACCTGAAACTTCATTCAGCATTTCAAGTGAAGGCTCCAGTAATTCCTGAATTTGTTCCCTAATAATAGCTTCGAAAATTCTGTACTTGGTAAATCCAGGCAACTCTCTCCCTTTAGAGTTTTTTTCATGATGTTTGACCGTGTTGGTTGCACTCTGATTGACTGAAAGGATAAGATGGAAGAAACTTCAGGTTATCTACCCAGTTTATCCCGTAAGTGTGTGAGACATACAACATGGCAGGGAGAGGCAGTGAGAATTTCCTTTGTCACTACCATCGGAATAGCCAGCTGCCGCTATGACTTCACTGGACATGAAAAACAAAATCCATTTGTGTGGTAACAAGGTGCAGAGCTGGATGAACACAGCCGGCCAAGCAGCATCAGAGGAGCAGGAAGGCTGACGGTTCCGGCCTAGACCCTTCTTCAGAAATGGGGGTGGGGAAGAAGGTTCTGAAATAAATAGGGAGAGAGGGAGAGGCGGATAGAAGATGGATAGAGGAGAGGATAGGTGGAGAGGAAACAGACAGGTCAAAGAGGTGGGGATGGAGCCAGTAAAGGTGAGTGTAGGTGGGGAGGTAGGGAGGGCATAGGTCAGTCCAGGGAGGACAGACAGGTCAAGGGGGCGGGATGAGGTTAGTAGGTAGGAGATGGGGGTGGGGCTTGAGGTGGGAGGAGGGGATAGGTGGGAGGAAGAACAGGTTAGGGAGGTGGGGACAAGCTGGGCTGGTTTTGGGATGCAGTAGGAGGAGGGGAGATTTTGAAGCTTGTGAAGTCCACATCGATACCATTGGGCTGCAGGGTTCCCAAGCGGAATATGAGTTGCTGTTCCGGCAACCTTCGGGTGGCATCGTTGTGGCACTGCAGGAGGCCCAGGCTGGACATGTTGTCTGAGGAATGGGAGGGGGAGTTGAAATGGTTCGTGACTGGGAGGTGCAGTTGTTTAGTGTGAACTGAGTATAGGTGTACTGCAGAGCGGTCCCCAAGACTCTGCTTGGTTTTCCCGATGTAGAGGAGGCCACAACGGGAACAGCGGATACAGTATACCACATTAGCAGATGTGCAGGTGAACATCTGCTTGATGTGGAAAGTCTTCTTGGGGCCTGGGATGGGGGTGAGGGAGGAGGTGTGGGGGCAAGTGTAGCACTTCCTGCGGTTTCAGGGAAAAGTGCCGGGTGAGGTGGGGCTGGAGGGGAGTGTGGAGCGGACAAGGGAGTCACGGAGAGAGTGGTCCCTCCGGAAAACAGATAAGGGTGGGGAAGGAAAACTGTCTTTGGTAGTGGGGTCGGATTGCAGATGGCGAAAGTGTTGGAGGATGTGCATTGGATCCGGAGGTTGGCCGGGTGGTACGTGAGGATGAGGGGAATTCTGTTTTGGTTGTTGTTGCAGGGAGGGGGTGTGAGGGATGAGTTGCGGGAAATGCGGGAGACACGGTCGAGGGCGTTCTCGACCACTGAGAGGGGGAAGTTGCGGTCCTTGAAAAACAAGGACATCTGAGATGTACGGAAGTGGAATGCCTCATCCTGGAAGCAGATGCGGCGGTGGTGAAGGAATTGGGAATAGGGGATGGCATTTTTGCAGGAAGGTGGGTGGGAGGAGGTGTATTCTAGGTAGCTGTGGGAGTCGGTGGGCTTGAAATGGATATCGGTTTCTAGGTGGTTGCCAGAGATGGAAACAGAGAGGTCCAGGAAGGAGAGAGAGGTATTAGAGATGGTTCAGGTGAACTTAAGGTTGGGGTGGAAGGTGTTGGTGAAGTGGATGAACTGTTCAAGTTCCTCGCGGGAGCACGAGGCGGCGCCGATACAGTCATCAATGTAACGGATGAAGAGGTGGGGGATGGGGCCAGTGTAGGTACGGAAGAGGGATTGTTCCACGTATCCTACAAAGAGACAGGCATAGCTTGGGCCCATGCGGGTACCCATGGCCACCCCTTTTGCCTGTAGGAAGTGGGAGGAATTGAAAGAGAAGTTGTTGAGGGTGAGGACTCCACTGCACTCCACCAAGATTAATAGAGGTGCACTAGCTCCAGAGAAATTCCTGGCCCCTATGCAGTGACTAGTGTGTGAACTTTTCTTGTCTTTGGACTTTCTAATAAAATTACAAACGGTTTCAGAGAGAGGGAATGGGGGAATGCCTTCAAAAGGGAGTGGAAACAATTCTTCATATGTGCTAAGATCACATCATCATGATATTTTGGAAATGGAGATGAGGAGTAATTGCTTCTCTCAGAGGATCAGCAGTGTTTGGGACAGATTCAAGGCTGAGCTGGAGAGATTTTTAATCAGGAAAATAGAGTTGAGGTCACATTCTAATCAGCCATAATCTCGCTGTTAAGCCCAGTGGCCTATTCCTAGGCTTTTCCTATTTTCCTGTAAGACTTGATCCACATGATCTCCTGGTTTCATTTCAATTGTATATAGTACCAACTGTGCATTGTAGCAACCCCAGGGACTACCACTATCCCACAGATATTTTTAAGTCCTCATTTTTCTACAGAAATCATTTCATAAACTCCACTACACAGACACTGTGATGTTTGTCTTTTAACTTTGCTTCTTTCTCTGACCTATGGTCATACTGTGTATAGCTGCAGTGTAACTTTCTTTTTTCTTCATTTCTCTATTCTGTAACTAAGGATTGTATCTGAGTATCTCTGTACCTAAGGTGGTGCTGTAAGTGGTGACTTATAAACTTTTGACTGTACTGGAGTCTATGTGACAATAAAGCTAATTCATTCATTCAGTCATCTGAGGGTGCTGGTGCAAAGTTTTCTAGATTTTCTTTTCACCTCTCATTCATCTGTTAGTTCTCTGCCTTGTTTCTTTTGCAACGCCTTAGAGATTACCTGGTTGAGTAGGTAGGTATTTTATGCTGCCCTTGCCCCATGGTCTGGGGCAGGTGTGATGGACTAACTGAACTTTGACCGTTTCTTTCCTGCCAGATGCTGACATGGTCAGTTAGTGGGACACTCCAAAACAGTGACAAGAAACAAAAGGAGGCAAGGAGAGACAATTCTGCTAATATACTTACGCCCCATTTTAACGCCATCCAGCTTCTTATACCACTCTGTAAACTTCTCCCTGGCAAAGTCGTGTAACTTCACATCGATGGAATAATCCTTTTTGTACTCTCCCATCGCTAAATGAATAAGTTCGTCACAGTACACTAGAATTCTCTATAACAAAATAAGTAAGCGTTAGTTTTTCTGTTATAGTTGTGTTGAAACATTAGAATTCAAAAATAAATGCGATAGTGGTGAAGGTACTGTCATCAAATCTTTCTTGTTGAAGAAGTGGATATTTTTGTGCTAAAAGCAATGTAAAATACACCTTTTTAATTGAGGCACTGTGTATCAATGTCAAGTATTGGCCATCATTACAGTTTGGCTAAATGCAAAGCAAAGACCTCTCTCTACAATCTCATGAGTGACAGTCCCTACTTTGGAATAAAAAAGGCATATATTTCTGAGACAACAAGGTGCAGGGCTGGATGAACACAGCAGGCCAAGCAGCATCATAGGAGCAGAGAGGCTGACATTTCGGGCCTAGACCCTTCATCAGAAAAGGGGGAGGGGAAGGGGGTTCCGAAATAAATAGGGAGAGAGTGGGAGGGGGATAGAAGAGGGATAGAGGAGAGGATAGGTGGAGAGGAAACAAACAGGTCGAAGAGGCGGGGATGGAGCCAGTAAAGGTGAGTGTAGGTAGGGAGTTAGGAAGGGGATAGGTCAGTCCAGGGAGGACGGACAGGTCAAGGGGGCGGGATGAGGTTGGTCGGTAGGAGATGGAGGTGCGGCTTGAGGTGGGA